TGAGGGGGGCAATCAGGGGGTGGGAAGTGGGAGGGAGTGGATAGGGGCGGGGCGGGGCTAGAGCAGGGCTCCTCCCCCCCCCCAGTGTCCTCTTTTTTGCTTGTGGAAATATGGTAACGCTAAAGATACCCAAACTTAGCACCATCTCTGAATGGCCACTGCAGGCATGGATGTGGGATGTAAGGGCTGTCTGGTGGGATCTCTGAATCGTACACGGAAAATCTTCTGCAGCTGCTCACGCTCCATGAGCGGAACCGTCACTAGGCACTCCTCCCCCTCCCCCCACTAGTTAGGTTCCTCCAGCCGAAAAGCGCCGCACCATTAGGGGCCTCCATCCTCGCCAAACACCAGCCACAGGGATCCTAGACATCTTACAGCCAGAGTACTTGGAGATGGAGCCATTTCCCTTCCCCAAAAAGTCTCCCAACTGTCATGTCAGAGGGCACAGTCTCTGTGCCCACAGCACCTGAGCAGAAGACAGCGGGGGAAGCACAATGTGACTGGTAGAGGCAGGCCAGCCTCCTTTCAAATGCCCAGAACTCAGCAGAATTTGCCCCCAGTGAGCAAGACAATCCCACATGAGTCTCCACCTCCCCATGGGGGAGCAGCCATTAAAACGGAGAGGTTATAGGGTTACTCATGAGGAACTGGCAAGCTGGTACTTTTGGTTCTGCCTGGAGTTTGGGCTCATGGAACTTTGTATTAAGGGCTCGGTTCCTTTATGGAGCTGATGTCAGATGATAACCAGCACAGCACAGAAAGCTGACTACATTACCAATCTGGGAAACAGTCTTGCAGCTGTTGTATCCTCACTGTTGCTCATATTTATATTCCCCTTCCTTACAGCACATTAAATTCCACAGCCCTTACACACCTATCTAGCTCTGCAGAAACATTCCAGATATTAGTAGACCAGAGACATCTATTTAGTGCACAATACGTTTGCCAAACCTCACCAGAATATACATCTGATACATTCTGCATGTACAAAACAGGTTACAGCAACATAATTATACTAGTAAGTTTCCACAACATTTAGCATGAGTACAAAGCATTATCGGCAATTGAGATGCATGGATATGCCCATTTTCAAAACTGCAGAGGCACAAAAAAAATTTGTGTCTACACTATGCCACCGTTTTCCACAGCACCCATCGTCACAGCATCTAAGCACCTATAGTGGGTTATGAACAGCGTTGACCTGCTTATTGGAATGTTTATGGTACAAAGATGTTTAATGTAATGGGGGTTATCAGGAAAAACAAGCAGGAACATGTTAGCCAAACCATACTCCCAGATTTATGCAAACAGATTTCCCACAATACAGCTAATAGATAAACTCTCAAACTCTATAGGTTTCCAGTCTAAGCAGATGTTAAGCCCTTTTAGCTAAGGAATCCTGCATCTTTCATGTGTGGGCTGAAAACGCAGCTCTCAACACCTCCACCACACTGCAATGGGGCACCTGGCCAGACCCCTCTGCCTAACAAAAGTATTTAAGAGCCATGCTCTTTGCATAGTTACAGTCGGCTGCAAGATTCTTCTAATCTCAGCCATCTCCACTGACTGCATCCACATAGCAAGCCAAGTGCCCCAGGCAGGTTTCCAGGGGAACAGGCAGACAGCCTAAATGCTCTTGTGCCTGGATCTACTATGGGACGCTCCACAACCAACCCCAACCTGCTACACAGCCAACCCCACAAGCAGCCATTCTGCTACTTAGCCCAGTAAAGGCTCCAAAGCTTCCTATGCATACCTCAGCATGCCCTTTGGAGCCCATCCACAGCAGGATTTACAGGTGAACATTAGAACATGTTAGCTAGAAGCAGGTGTTAACATGCCTGAAGAGTCTAGAGTCTACACCAGGGGTCAGCAACCTTTCAGAAGTGGTGTGCCGAGTCTTCATTTATTCACTCCCATTTAAGGTTTCGCGTGCCACTAATACATTTTAATGTTTTTAGAAGGTCTCTTTCTATACGCCTATAATATATCACTAAACTATTCTTGTCTGAACAGTAAATAAGATTTTTAAACTCTTTATGAA